TCATTATTATCTTAATGTAAAAGCTGAAACTAACCCATATTCCCATCATGTCAAGCGTGATGCGTTCAATTTTATGCATTTTGCACCTAGCTTCAAATTGGTTTAAGTTTTTTTGGATGCAGGAAATACGCTAATAAAAAAAGTCCTAAGCTGAAGCTAGCAACAATGACTGACCTATTGTTTGTTGATTTCAATCAAACTTGATGTAGATGGATTATACACATTACACAAGATTAAATAAATGGATGCAATTTAAATAGCATTAAGAGTATTAGATCGCTGTTGATGATTATGATTTGGGTATGAATACAAATTCAAAAAAAAAATGTTGGTCTAGACTAAAAGTTTGTAACAATTTCTATGAACATTGCTAGTGGAAAAAAAAATTAATCATCATATTATTAATAATATTTGTTCAAAAATTAATTAGATTTTGAATTTATACCTTGCTATTTACCATCTCTATTAGCAAAGTATATATTTGTAAAATTTTTTTAAATGATTTCAACATGGCTTACGCTGCAAAGTAGATTGAATCTAAGCTAAGATTTTACACCTAAAATGATAAAGTAAAATCATCACATAGAGAAACATAATTTTTTGGCCATTTTTTCATAGTTGCAAAACATTTTTTATTTATTTTTCATTCTAAACAAAATATCAGCATGATAAAAATTTATCAATTAATCTAGATAAATTCGAAATAATTATTTTGATGGCAATGTGATTATTCTATTTTTCATCAGTGCAATGAAAAATTAATTCATCGTTTTAGTCTGGATATATATATTTTTTAATTCATAATAAAGATTTTTAAAGTGATGCGTTATTTTCAAAATGAAAGCATGATATTTATACGATATTATCAAAATTCAATGCACTTTTGATATAGCTAGAAAATCATTCCACACCTTTTCAATGCATCTTTTTCATATTTAACATGAATTAAATTTATATGAATAGAATCATCAAATTTTGTGCAGATAATCAAAAAAATATCTTGTTTACTGCTTGCTATGTTTGCTAGTATTTTGTATTAGAATTTGTTACTTGCAAAAAGCTATAATCAATAACATTTAAAGTTTAACATTCACATCAGAACTTCTTAGTTGATTTCATAGAATCTATAGAATAGCAAACATTTTTGTGAGCACCCGTTAACATGTGTCATAGAGATTTTCTCTATCTTTTTTTTAAAATGATAATGAAATATTCTAAATAACATAATCAAACTACTAAAATTAGCCAATAGATTAAATAACTCCTTACAATCTCAAAGATAAAAATATATTATTTAAACATGTGATTATAAGTGTTGTATTTGATGGTATGATTTTACGTTGTTTGTTGCTCAATCTAGTGGAATATGGATAATGTTTTTATTTTTTATTATATCATAGAATTCCCAACTAGAATATACTGCTAAGGATGAAGATTCATTCATGAATTGTATAGGGTTTAGGCTAGTCATCATACATTCTTTACGATATTCATATATGTTTCTCTCCTATATTTGCACGAGGTTTCAACAGAGAAATATGAGTGACGCTGAGGGAACCAAGCTGATTCGTTGGGAGTCATTGATCCAGGTTATTATGAATTCACGTCAATGTTTTACTCCTAGAGGTATTTGCAAGCGACTTGTATCCTAAAGGATGTGACTTGTATCCAGGTCTGCTGCTTAGATGAGCAGATGATTTAGGGCACTTAAACGCAGCGAGAATGATCTTCCAATGAACTTAGAATGATCTTTGATCAGTCGTTATAAAGAGCACGCGATTCTACCCACCCCAGCTTACCAATTCTGTCGAATCTTCTCATTCGGATTCCCAGAGGTTGGTGCATGAGAAGGAGGGAGCCCGCTGGAGCATAGGGAACGAATGCTCACGTCCTGATTTAACATGTTTTGGAGCACATTCAATTATGTAATGGTACAGATTTGTCGGGTGTGAGGAGGAATAAGCACGGAAGCAACCATATGAGCCGCATGCGGAGGACAACCGAAGGGTCTAGAAGAGCTTTGAACAAACTGCAGTTGCGAACAAGCTTCGCCAACTTCGTTGCTCTCTCCCTCATTTCGCCGAAAGATGCAAGCCCACAATCACACATTTTGCATATGCATGTTGCACACATATGCGGCTTAGTTTTCTACAAAACGGGACATGAGCAAAGCTCTCCATTTGTCGACCAGGTCAAGGCTATGAACCTCTGAATATCATAGCAGCTCCTGTCTTTTCTCCAGATCTGAAAGTGTCTTCTTTTGCATGTGTTCAGCGTACCTCGAGTGCTCAACTTCGATTCCGATTTTTTGCATTCCCGGAATAAAAGTCATGAAAATGACGATTTGCACCCCATACACGAATGGCAGCAACTTTCTGGTTGACTTTGCAAGATTAGGTTAAAATTTCTTGCTTGGAGATGACTGACGATACTACGTAGGACTTTGTCTTACAGACACAGTCCTTGCTTCCTACATCATCCTGCCCCACTTGTGATTCACGTCCTGCGTATAAAAACATACCACACTGGAATCTTTTCTCGAAGTTGAGCGCATCTTAAACTGTAAGCTTAGGTAGCGATTTCGGCATCAGGATGTATCCGCAAAAGTTGCAATCATGTTTAAAAGGAACGGAAAGCTTGGGAACAGAGGTTCTAGCCTTCCACTTTTTCACGACAGCCGTCGATGGACCTTGTTATTTTTGACTTAGAGTTGAAAGAAAAACATTCCGATTGCAGGTGTACAATTTGTTGCCAGCAGGAAAGCCGAGAATGAAGTTGATTGTACCTTGAATAAGGCAAGCGACTAGACAAAGTGCGCCCATTGTCGTCTTGTTCCTTGTCCTTCAGGATACATTCTTCTCCGCTCTTGCTTTCATCTCCAGTCCCTTTCATGGCACTGCTTCTCTGTCCATCTAAGGTTTGAGCCCCTTCATCGCGTCGCTGAAGTCATCCACGCTTGCGTAAGAGAATCTTGAGGCCTGCACATTCCTCAGTTCTGGATTGAATGCTCTGTATGACCTCTACTCACTTCTGTACCTTAGGTGAAGAAATACATCAACTGTTTGTTGCTTGTACTCATGGAAAAACGGGTTCTCGGAGAAGTATATCAATATGAGTATTTTGTACTGAAAGAGGCATTCCATAATACAACTGCACATGAGAACCATGGCGAGAGTCGAACAATTGGTTATAGAGTTGTCTTCCGACGAAGTTACTTGGGTCAGGAAACTAGTCATGCCTTCAGTGTGCCAACAAGGAGAAAATGGCCTACATCTTATGGATTTCGATATAGCCTTCAAAGCTCAAGAAGGAAACCTGTTTCGATAGAGCCACTGGTTTGAAAAAATCTACAGTTTTGAGTTTAAAAAGGATAAACTTCGCCTCAGTAGATTGATGGGTAGTCATCGACCTCAACACCTTGTGCTAGGCAAACAAAGTTTGCCTAGCACAAGAATAGAATACGTAATACGATGAAAAACACACGCGCCATCCTACAACAGGAACTGTATTCACCCTGCACATGCTCTGACCAGTTTCTTGTCCAGATTTGATGCTCTCCTGCACAAAGATTCCTATATTGCATGTTCTTCAAAGAATTTCTAAACTTTGTTGATGGTAAATGGTGTGCGCATCAATTGTTCTTTCAGTAGGTGCTGCCACTTCTATGTGCAAACACGGCGTGTGCATCAAACAGTAGAGGTCATACATCAAAACTCTACACTGAAGGTACAATTCTTCTTCCCTGCTGATAAGATACTTTTACTCAGCCCCCTTTTACTTTTTTGTTCATATGATCCCTGAATATTTATGCTTTTAGCATAGGAGAAAGCAATTTCATCTTCTCATTATTCACTGTTTTTATGGTGATATACCATTGACTTCCTTGGACTATGCTCTCGATTTTTGTTCCTGAAAGCCGTAGATGAAAATCGAAAGCGAGATTCATGGCTTGAACCTCTTGTACCTTTCAATTGAAACTTTTCACGTTGTGGATCTATGGACCGACCATTCGTCCTTTTGTTTCTGTCAATGAACCTCAATGAACCTTAGAAAGGTCCCCTTTGATCTACACGTGAAAGGAACTTCCTTCAGAACATTTGATACGTACTTTACAGTACGTTGTTGTCCTCAACTTTCTCTCGGAGAAGAAATATTAAATAAAGTGTAGCGAAGTTGGAAATGCACATGTTTTGGTGTGAGCTTATTGTTGGCGACTAGGGGCAATATGGAGTGAGAATCTTGCATGCTAAAGGTTCCGCACACAATGTGCTGTGACGGGGCAAGAGGGAATCAAAGCGAATACTCATCCACGCCCTTCGTTCATCCCTTCCTTCCCATGCCAGTTCATGCTCCTCTCTCCAGGACTTCTCTCAACGGAAATCATGACTCCTCTCTTCGCGAAGCGCCTTACTTAGCAGCAACAACCTTCTGAAGGTTCTGGTGCCGATAAGTCGGTCCACTCTAGTTTGAAATCTTGATCCGAAGAACATGACCTTCCTCATGCACTTGACATCATATACACGTCGGTATAAGCAAAGAATCTAAATGCTTAAAGAGCTCTAAGAGAAAGTGCAAATTTATTACTAAAGAGGAGCAAGTAATATAAAAAAATGTACCTGAAGACCCAGCAAAGTTTATACATTATTCTACTGTCGAATGGCAACATATTTCTCGTTTCGAGATATTTCCTGTTAATTCGAAAATATCCAAATCATCTACGTGAATAGAAAACCATTCCTACTTTTGATAGGGTCATGGATAAGACTTAATAGTGCTTTACATAAATAAATGAAATTCTAATATTTTTATATGTATATGAATTGCACATGATATGTGTATCACATGTAATTGAATGGGTAGAAGATATAGAATTCTGTTTTTGTGGGCGAGTGGCTAGACCTACTCAGTAGCTGTATCCCATTCCAATTCCGTCTACCACAGTACCCACTAGCGAGCATGAATGGTTTGATAAAACTCTAAAATAGTGAGACTATCCCGACTTGGCACAAGCATGTGCCGTCCTGATACAAGCGTAGTTGAGAAATGCTCCGCGGCCGCACACCACCAAAGTTGTGGATCCGGGCGCACGTGCAGATCGTCCATCTGTATGTCTCCTTGCTTCTCCATTATTGGAACATTTCATGGATGATACGGTCTCGGGCATGACGTGCATGAACTGTTCGAGTGCCATTTTAAATTGAACCTGCTGTTTATGAACGACGAGGAGGAATTTTGACCAGATACCCAAAGCAAAATGGCAATTTTCCCAAGACTGTTCAAAGGTTCAATGCGCATGCTCATGCCAATGCGAAGCTCGACGAAGTGTCTGAGAGTTCCAGTGCAAGAAGGGAGCGACAGCCGAGCTATACCCTAAAAGAATCTGACATCTCTCTACAGGGGCTCAGAGTTTCCTCCCGATAATTGTTGAAATCTCGTGCCGTGTTTTCAATCACCGGGTCAAACACCGGGAGCGAAGTTTACTTGACGTGACCTCTACCCCTGCACCGAAGACCTCCGGAAAGGGTTTGATGCAACTCTTGCGTTGATGACAGTAGGACGACAACTACAGCGGATTCTGAAAAAGGCCCCATGACAACAGATTTGTCCAATCAAACAGTCCAGAGACCGCCCAAGCAAGCGGAGCCATGGGGACGAGGCGAAGCTTCAAGGCAATGAACGCGAGTGGTGCATCAATGTGACTAGTTGCAGAATATTACCATCGACTGTTCCGGAGTCCAAAACGCTGACGGTTTGGGCATCTTCCTTCACACACTACACTTTAACTGTTGAAACCATTTTGGATTTCTTGTGGGATGCAGAAATTCGGTGCGGATCTTGAAGGAGGATCATACGCTCCTACTCACTATGCACAAGCTCCACCGCCCCATACGTCCTTCTAAATTTGGTCCAATTACAGTTGGTCCCAAAAGAAGGCTTCAAAAAGGCCTAAAGTCCTCTCGATCTGCTGGTAGATGGAGAGAAACTAGACTAACTTTCCAAATTAGGCGAGTTGTTCAGGGCAATGGAGCACAAGCAAGAGATGAGATCAATCTTGGGAAGAAAGCTGGTGAGAAACGCAACCCCGCAAATCAACCGTCTACCGGGAAGAGAATGGGTCTCATTTCACAATTCTTTGACATGGGCGATTGTCTGGCAATCTGCCTACAACTTGTCAAGGACTCTATAGTCTCCACCAGCTGAGTTGGGTCATTTTGTCCCACGAGCATTATTCCCTCCTGGATTAGTTTTTTTTGGATATCATAGTACACAGGGAATCACCTTCGTACTCGACACAGTGTGGATATTCGAAGGAAATAGTCATGATCAGTAGTCTCCGTTTGTTTACCCTGACCTAACACATTCGACAATCACTTGCTTGTGACGAACAGACCACATGCACGAATGACATGTCGAGAACACACTCCATTCGTCAAGGTAAGTGGTCTACCTATATCAGAAAGGATGGATGTTGGAAAATGATAGCACGGGGGCAAAAATGAAATGGAGTGACAACGAGGGGTATCGGGATTGAGAGGGAGTCAAACTAAAGGTTACCTTGAGTCTTAAAGTAAGAAGCTCTCGTGCGAGAGAGGAGAGCTGTAATCGTCAAATCATGTGATGTGGATGATGTGGGTCCGTTAGGTAGTTACATAACACGGAGAAATTGGGGTGATCGTTGCTGATGGCCATATGATCTGCTTACCACATCCGTGTTGGCAGTTTTTTCCTTCTTCTGTTTCACCATGGCGTAGAACGTGGGGTCCATTCATGTAGACAAGGCTCCAGTCGAGGGACCCATGAAAAGACAGACGCGAGTTTCCTTGTGGTTCTCTTGTGTTGGCAACGACGAGAAGAGTAGAGAAAAACAACATGGTCTTGTAGAGTGGGGCCCAAGATGAGTAGCACTACATTGGTCATCACGAATAGTGACATCCACACAAACCAGATGGCGAGAATTCATGATCTGGTCCACCAATAATTCTCTCTTCTGGAACTTGTGGTGGTGATGGAAGTCAAGACTAAAGGCACTCCCAAAGCCAAGGGTTATTTTGTTTGATGGGATCCAAACAAACCAGCTATCCTACATACTTTCAATTTGCAACCCCAAAGCGTGAAGCATGGCAGCTTTCTTTGTTCATTTCTTAAAACTTCATGGTTCAAGAAGTGGCATGCCAGGACGAGTGGGCCCTTACACTTTCTATCAGTCGATGAATTCTTGCCACAATGTGCTTCTCTTGCACTCTTCACCTCTTTCATTGCTTTCTTTCAATTTTGACTCAGAGCCCAGGAGTAAGTCGGTGCAATTGCTTCAAGGAATATGGTCTTTGAATTGTTCAATTCGTACTCTTTATCTTCAAATTCCTTTTTTCATTCATTCCTCCATTCAGCTCTCACACATTAAAACCTTGAACGTCTTAGAAACGATGTTTATCAATAGTTGTGCATTCCTAGTTGAATTGCAAAACTTTCTTAATGGGTTTGTGTTGAAAACTCCAGATGATTATAGGAAAAAATTCTTGAGTGTATAATCTAATCATCAATATCATGGGGTCACTTACTATCTCATGCACATCGAAACAGATGCACGCACCTGAAATTTGAATTAAAACAACTATGGATTGAACATGTGTTTTAATTCTCATCACTTACATTAGAAAAAACTTGTCATTTTATATACAAGGCTCACCATACTGTTTGTTTTGTAATTAAAGTCAGGTTTTATACTTAAGTCATAACAGGATACTCCGTACTGGGCAAAAGCAGTTTCACTATAAAATCAAATGGAAAAGAACTCTTTGAGGTCTATTAAACTAAAATTGTAAAAAATAGCTTCGAAAGAGCATCACGGTTGGGTGTTCTGAGCCTGTCCTCCAATTCAACACTTTTTAAACGAATTTTTCTTCTAAAATGTATGGAAAAAATTATAGCATAGTTTCCTTTCGAGAGAAGGCTGTTTCTTTATTCATACTGATATACGCAGATGTGATAACAATGTAAACAAAAATGTGTAACAAAAATGTAATAACAATGTAACAAAAATTATAGAATCTAAACACTGCAAGACTTTCTGAAAATTACTATATAATTACTTAGTCCATTCTGAAACTTAGTTCCATGAGTACGACCCTCCAGTTGTATCAGCAGAAAATGTATCAACGATAAAAGGTAAATAGAAAACTAGTGAAGAATTAAATCTTGAAGATCAACTACATCGTCATTATACTTCTTTTCGTGTTTTCGTATCTCAACATCATGAAAATTGGCCATGAATCTTAGTTCTAAATGGTTTTGCCAAAAATGAAACCACAGTCTACTTCAATGTATACACTGTTGCGAAATTTTTTCTGTAAAATGATTGACTCATACACACATACAGAAATTATTAATGCTTAATATTTATTCCAAGACTTTCCAATGAAGCCAAGGTTTCCATGCTGTCGTGTAATCTGAAAGGGCAAAAAAAGTCCGTTTGAAAATTTCCACACATCGCCTGCTTGTCCAACAAGAGAACATTTATCTTGACTTATTACATGTCTGCCTAACAGTGCCATTTCAAATTTCGTTTGGTGTAGTGCACAAAGAAAGAACGAAACAGTTTACATTTGAATAAAATATAGAGTATTATGCAAACAAAGTAGAAAACAGTGAAAGTACTTCTGACGGATCAATACAGAGGTGATTGCACAATCCGGCGATCCCTGTTGACAGCCTTTGTGTGAGCAGACCTGGCCTTTCAGCTTGAACACGAAAGGCTATTCGAAAACATTGATGAGTACGCATTTTGTCTCGTAAACGTTTTTTAACCTGGACAATGTGTATTCTCTTGATTTTGGGTTTGCTCCAAAATATTCTCACTCACTTGTTTTCAAATTTCGAAAACGGATTTCTAAATGAGAAAGAAATTATGAACAATCTATTACTCTCAAGCTAATGTCAAGGAACACATTGTTTAAGAGTTTAGGGGGCATTGTCCTCTGCCGAGGCTCGTTTTTCGCAGCAGTTTATACGATCAGTGGAACGACAGTAGCCTAAACGGTGGTTAGAGCTTTTTAAATGGCAATGTTATACCTTCAGGACGTAATCATAATCATCACGTTGAGATTCAAAGAATCGTGAAGAGACGAATTCCACTGAAAATCTCAAGCACTGGGTGATGTTTGCTGCTGTACCCTCACGTAAAAATGGTCAGACAGCTACTTCGTTTATTTTCCGTTCATGCTAGATCATAACAAAGTTGGTAATTTCGATCGTTAAGAGAAAGAAGTAGGCCACCTTCCGTTAGTGTTCTTCCATTGACCACAACGTGTAGGAAGACAGGTGTCCAGCATTTCGCAAAGAAGGAACAAGTTGCAACTTGCTAGAGACGTGAGAGACACCTGGAGACATGGACTGCGATCCAATCCGATGAGACGACATCTCAAACTCGGACACGAGATAATACTCCTTCGACTTTATAATTACAACTACTCTAAGTTCACCGGATGGTTTCGGTTGTCTTACCCCTACGCTGTTCCAATAGGACAATCATCCAACTTCCTTCCCTGCTAGGTGATCCATGGGACGATGCAGCCCCAGAAATGAACATCAGTCACTGAAATATAACGAAATTAAAAAAAACGGAAAAAAATGGCAAACGGTAGTTGCCAGACAAAGATGAGTTTCGCAAAAGACAAAAGCTTAGGGTTCCAAAATCTATTGACTCCAAGGGCATACAGGAACCAGCGCTGCAGACCCACAGAGAAGTGTTCGCGACAATATTAAGATAAAGGAAAAACCTTCGAGGCGAGTGATCAGAAGACTTTAAGGCTACGTGGAAAAGCTTATCGCAGGTGCCGCTGTTCGCCGTCAATCGCCGCTTTTACACAGTTCTCTTTTCGCTCCCGATGGGAACAAATCAGCAAAGACAAACCAAGTTATTTGGTCCCCCGAGTTCCAGTTGGGAAAAGAAGAAGGGGAACAAATAATTGTGCACGAGTAATATAGCAAATGGATGACAAACCATCTTAAATAGAAGCAAAAAGCATGAAAGACACCATCAAGACGTACAGGGATGGAGCCAAACGGGTAACATGGGGCTAGGGCCCAATCATGCACAGTGGCTCACAGTCAATCCATACAAAACTTGGGTGCATTCCCTTGTTCCAGCTCCTCGCTCTCTGCTGTCTGGCCATTGGCATAATCACCTTCCATCCTTCGCGGGCAGACCGCAATGAAACGCCCCCGAAAGTGCATTTCACAAAGGGATATCAGCAGAGGGGACCCAACCCCCGCCAGAGGCCTGGCTAGTTAGAGCGCACACTGGCAACAGCGTTCGGCTCGGCACGTTCTGAAGGGCCAGTGATCTCAGCCGACCACAGTCGCTATTCAGGAGAGAAGCCCGTAAACTTTGGGGTTGAGCCGCGGTTGACAAGCCTCTCCGGAAGAGGGAAACCGGAGGTCGTGAACCCGAGTTGGATGTAGTCGAGTTCATGTTGCACTGTAGTATGTACTATGTACAGGAGGAAGAGAACCGTCGTTGAGTACTTTATCGGCAGCGTACAGTGGTTGTTTTAACCATACCTCTAACGGCGGGCGCCTGGACAGCTGCCGCTTCTGCGCATCCAGCGGACAAACTGTGAAACCTCAATCGACGTCTGCACGTGTTCTATCATCCTGGGAAGATCCGGTCCTGCTAACATAATGGTCCACTAAGGACCGTTATTTTAGCGTAACGGAATATTAACAGAGGTTTTCCGTGGTTTGTCTCCGAGTCTGTAGCCGTGGATAAGACCCTGTTGTCTGTCCGCTGGTTCCGAGCGTTGACCGTAGAAGCACATTCGCTGGCGCACTCTCCTTGAGAGCTGGATTCTGGCTGTCCATGTTACTGGTGGGAACCTTTCTCCGAATTTCTTACCCTCCAGATTCTCCGTGCATGCTTCCGTCTTCTTGCCTTTCTTCCACTCATCTCTCTACCGGACCTTTCAAGCACGGAACCAGGAACGGATATCCTTTTTGGTCTGGAATACTCTTGAGACTTGTGAAGTCAATCCTACACATTATAAAGCTCATCAGATAAAATAAAGGCGTGTCTCTTATGAAGTACACGGATATTCCTTTAGTATTTTAACTCTTTCCGCCGAAATTTTATGAAAAATAATTACAAATTGAAATATACTTAACGAATGTAGTAAACTAAAGTCTGAATATCCATGTTCATTTCAACAATTTATTTTTTATTTCAACTTGTGGTTTAAAAATAATCACATATTCTATTTATTTGAAATATGCTTTCAGACGCTGAGCTCATTTGTTAAATGTAATCAGGTGTACTTATTTTTTGTCCTTGTCTTGGTGTAGGATCTTGAGAGAAGATAAGATGGAGTGTTCTCTTCGTCTCTCCGGCGTGGGAGTAACACATGAACATGCACCAGTGAGAAAGGCTGGTATGAGCATATGGGAGTATAGAGATCGGCATTGCTCAACTTTTTTGCACATCTACTGGTGAAATCGGCGCTCAGTAGGAGTTCAATAATGGGCCATTCCTAGAAATCATCAACGCAAAATCTGCTGGAAAACGTGAGCTTTTTTCTGCAAAACGTCATGTAGGATGGATGTTTGATGGATTGTCTACTCACTTCCAGTTTCTTCAGGTGGTCATGGATTGTTTTCACGGTGGTGTGAACTCTCGGTGACTCTACCTTGTATCCGGGTAACTTTCCAAATTAGGCCAGTCAGTCGTTCCACGTTACGATTGGTGCAATAGTTTCGCTCCCATTATATCCAGACTTGTTTTCTGGTGCTTGTTTGATGGAGTGGAGACATACTTGATTACTGTCCAGCTTTGTTAAGCTTTTGTCGAAAGGACTTTGTGGACCACAGGGACTTCGGTTACTCGTCCCGTCATTGGTGACATGGGAGGACCTTGAGATCAAAGCCCGTCGTCTGTTCACAACGCTACCAGCTTGTGGCACATATATCTTTGGAGAAACGCTGGTCTCCTTGAATACCTTGAATAAAGTTCACACACAGCCAACCTGCACCAGAGCATGCTTTATCGAGATCCCTGTGCATCCGTCGCCATAATGTTATTTACTTTGCACATGGGTCGGTTGTACAGACGGCAGCGAAGTCAAAGAAATTACATGCACAGCTGAAAACCACCGAAAAAGTACATCTGAAAACGAAAAGGTCTTTCCGAGTTGCAATTGCAATCGGTTACTTTTCTTTTGACGTGGTGAGT